TTTATAATCTCTTGCATGTCTGAGCCTACAATGAGCATGTCATCAACGTACAATAATAAAATAATGAAGTTGTTGTCAAACTTCTTAATGTAGCAACAATGATCTTCTTGGCATCTGGTAAAACCACTGCTACCCATGAAGCTATCGAACTTCTTGTACCACTGTCTAGGATCTTGTTTTAAACCATACAAGCTCTTCTTCAACCTGCATACCAGTTTTTTCTTGTCTACCTCTATGAAGCTTTCTGGTTGCCTCATATAGATTTCTTCCTCCAAATCACCATGAAATAAAGTTGTCTTTACATCTAACTGCTCAAGATGTAGATTCTCTGTAGCTACAATTTTCAACACCAGTCTGATTGTAGATAGCTTCACGACCGGAGAGAAAATTTCATTGTAGTCAATACTTTTTTTATTGAAAACCTTTGACAACCAATATTGCTTTGTAGAGTTTGCTCCCATCGTGAGCACTTTCTTGCCTGGTGGTAATTCAGCTAATTACCACGTCTGATTTGACATAAGCGAGTCTATCTCATCTTTCATGGAAGACTCCCACATGACTGAATCCTCTACCTGCATTGCTTCATCATACCACTCTGGTTCACCATTGACAGTCAACAAAAAGTAGTGCAAAGAAGGCGAATAACGATGGAATTGTTTAGGAATTATGGAGGAACGTCTCAGTTCTAGTGTGCCTGGTTCTTCTTGAATTACTTCAGGACTGATCTGAACATCATTTCTAGAAATCTCCTCAAACTCAGCAAATTCCTTTGTTTCAGCTTCGGTATTGGATCTACTTGATTCTATGGTTGACCTGTCTTTGTACATCACATTCTTATTGAAAATGACATCTCTGCTTCTGATGATCTTTCGATTTTCATAGTCCCAAAACCGATAACTAAACTCATCACCACCATAACCAACAAAGACACATTTGTTGGACTTAGCATCTAGTTTACTTCTTTCAGCAGAATTTATGTGTACATAAGAAATACAACCAAACACTCTTAAGTGTGAAAGGTTTATTTATTTTCTACTCCAAACTTCCTCTGGTATTACACCATCCAAGGGAACTGAGGGCCCATGGTTGATCAGGTAAGCTGCAGTGTTGATAGCTTCAATCCATAGCAATTTGGACAAGCCGACATGTATCCTCATGCTTCTGGCATGTTCATTCAAAGTTTTGTTCATGCCCTCTGCTATATCATTCTGTTGCGGTGTCATGGGAACTGTTGTCTCCATCTTGATCTCATTGTTTGCACAAAATTCTCTGAATCTACTATCTCTGTACTCTCCTTCATTATCAGGCTTCAACCACTTCACTTTCAAACCAATCTCATTTTCTACCATGGTCTTCCATTTTCTGAAGGTATCAAAGACTTTTGATTTCTTCTTCAGAAATAAACCCACACCTTTCTTGTAGAATCATCGATTAAAGTGACATTAATATAGTGAGCCTGCAAGAGATGGAACTGGAGATGGTCCCTATACATAAGTATAAACCAACTCTAACTTTTCAGCCTTGGGTGTCTTGCCAATCTTTGCAAAACTGATTTTCTTTTGTTTGCCAAAGATGCAATCATCACATAGTCCAACATCTATACTCTTTAGACCTGACAGTTTCCCTTTTGAAAAAAGTGTATCTATCCCTTTCTCGCTTATATGGTCAAGCCTTTGGTGCCATAGGTTTGATTTTCCATCAACATCTCCTAATACAATGATATTCTCCAAGTTTGAGGTTACATAGAGAGTACCAGTCTTCTTACCACGAGCAATGACGAGCTTTGGTAATTTTCCATTCACAACCTGAAAAGGTTGTACAATATCCTTCTCAATCAAGTTGTACTACATAAATCAAATTTCTTTTGAGGCCAAGAATATGTCTCACTCCTTGAAGCTTCCAGGTGGCCTGATTTGGCAACTTTAATCGAATGTCTCATTTTCCGACGATCTTCAAGGTTTCATCATCAGCTAGATGAACCTTCACAAAATCACCACTGACATAGTTCTCCACGATTTCTTGGCATGGCGTGGCGTGGAAAGATACCCATGAATCGAAGATCCATGATTCAATTGGGTTGTTGATGCTTAGAATCATGACATCACCTATTTCCTCTGTCACGTTGGCATATTCCTGTGCGCAAGTATCTTTCTTCGGTGCTCGACAATCTCTTTTAAAGTGACCCTTATTGTCGCAATTATAACAGTTAAAATCTTTCTTTCCCGTTCTTGATTTTCCCCTTCTAGATTTCGATCTTCCACGATTTGGATTTCTTTCTGAAGTTCTCCCTCTAGACTCCGTGTACAAGGCTGAGAAGCTTGATGCTTCACCCGATTCTCTCCGTCGAATTTCTTCACTCAATACCAGATCCCAAACATCATCAAATTTCAATTTACTATTTTCCGACGAACTGCTGTAACAATAGCATTCCAACTGTCTTGTAGAGATGATAAGAGAATTAAAGCTCGAACTTCATCATCAATTCAATTTTCACGGAACTCAACTTGGTTGTGATTGTGTTGATTTCATTTAGGTGTTGAGCCACTGATGCCCCTTCCGCCATCTGTAAATTCAATAATTGCCTCATCAAGTGAACTTTGTTTGAGGACGATAGCTTCTCATACATACTGGAGAGAGCCGCCATAAGACCTGTCATGGTCTTTTCCTTTGCTATGTTGAAAGCAACATTGCGAGATAACGTCAGTCAGATAACTCCGAGAGCCTGTCTGTCGAGAAAAGCCCAGTCTTCATCCTCCATGCCCTATGGTTGCTTTCCTGAGAGAGGTTGATATAGCTTTTTCTGGTACAAAAAATCTTCAATCTGCATCTTTCAAAAGTCAAAGTTCGTACCATCGAACTTCTCAATTTTCACATTCCCTTCGTCTGCAGCCATCGCTCCCACTTGAATATGGCTTCTTTTGGATCGTTTCTGACAATTCCTGTGAACCATCGTGTATTAGAACACCTCCGTCGACAAACTCGTATCGCCGACCAAGTTTTACTATTCACGAAATTCACTATTCATGTGAATAGTAACCTCACAGAAAATGCTAACAAAATTCACCACCAAAAACTCTGATACCAGTTGTTGGGAAATTAAATGAGTAATTTTCCTATAACTAGATTAGTGAGAATGCGAAATAAAAGTGAAATAATAATACACAAAATTGATAACGGAGTTTGGTTAATTATGCCTACGTCTCCATACTGCTGTAGATTTTTTTTTTAAAGGGAAAAAATTTTACAGGTGTTTACAAAAAACACTCACAAGCTCAATTACACCCTGAAAATTGCTCTCAATTTTTCTCTCATAAAGTTTTTCTCTCTAAGCTTTTATTTTTTGTTTCTCACTTGGATTGATAAATAACCTGTTGGGGTGAGCTATATATGGATGCAAAAGCCCCCCATTCTATTTCTACCAACTAATTCATTTAATTGGCTTTCCTTATTTTCAACAAATGATGTACCGTCAATTGGGTTGTTGGCTTGGCAACCAATTTCAACAAAGGATGCACCAACAAGTTTAACCAACAAATTTTCAACAAATGATGTACCTGCAAGTTTGACCAACAAAAGTTTAACAAAGGATGCACCTACAAGTTTGACTAACAAGGCATTATGATGGCTACGATGTTCATGAACCCCAAAGTCATATGCAAGGCATCACCAATCGCCTTAGCTTCGTTATCTTCACCATCTGCCTTTTCTTTTCTTCCAATGATGTCGTACCGGCTTTCATACAAGAGTGCTTCATTTTCGTTCGTGAAACTTCCCATAATGCCTATAGAGCCTCGGCTTACACCATAGCTGACCTCATCAGTTACCTTCTTTTCCTTGCACTGCAAGCCGGTGTCTATGCTTGTATTGTTTGGAAAGCCTTGGAGCTTAAGGGACCATTCTACTATTTCTTCGTTGTCCTTTACGTCTCCCTTCTTTCAACCAACTTGTTTGTGATGTTTGTGAGCTCGGTGGTACCAAATTATATCCTAGTGTACGCGACAGTGATCGCTTTCACCGCTCGCTTTTTCTTGTTTTGTGGCTAATTCATTAACAGCCACGATATTCCGTTGTACTGGAAATGGATGAACAAGATCTCCACCATGACAAATCCATATGAAGGCATCTTGATGAACCAGTATCAAACTCCGAATGTTTTCGGATACAATCCGCCATGAGACCTATGACGGGTTTCGGGATCTTGAATTCACACAAAAATCAGCACCGAAGAATTCAAGTGGGAAAATGTTCTCATAATGTTAGGTTGGGCTGTGTTTTATAGGTTGAGTTTCTATATTGTCATCCGTTTCGGATCAAAGAACAAGAGGACATAGGAAAACCAAGAGGAAAAGGATGACGATGATGGTAAAAATGCTTAATGTTTTATATCATTTATGTTATTGTTTCCCTGTCAAAAATATTTGGACCATACACCAATCAAAAGGCAAAAAACAGTGCAAAGCGTTTTTGCAGCATGTATCCGCAAGAGACCACGTCTAATGCTTACATTATGCCATCTATTCTTCGTAAAGATCGAAAAGCCAAAACCAAAAGGAATAAGACAAACAAGATGTGATTTCCCCACCAAAATATCACCATACACTTTGGTATTACATCCATTAATGCACTTGCCTTGAAATATATACTTTGGTTCCTCTGCCAAATGAAATCAACATGCAAGGAGTCGTTATACGTGTTTTCTTCATCGTCGTCTTCTTCTTCTTCTTTATGGAAGGACTCATTTTAGTTCACGAAGCTGCTCATCCTGCTTACATAGTCTCAGATTCTCATATGTTTAGATATTTTAGGTTAACCCGACCCAACCTAAATATATATATAGATATATATAATTCATTTTTATTAGATAAAATAAGGACCTTATTGAAAAATAAATAAAACACAAAAGGATATTATTGTAATTATCCCTAAATATATAAAGAATAGTTATACTATTATGTCAGGTCTGATCAGATTTTTTCACCCTAAACCCAAACCGATTTTTTTATAAATAAAAACCAACCTGAGTAATACCCCGTTAGATCCGGTGAAATTGACATCCTTATCCCATTTAGAGTATGACAATCATGCCAATGTCATGATCTCCAAGCCTTGCACATTTTATTGGTTAGATATCTAGCAGCTTTAACACCACCAACCGTCAGTACACCTGATACAGCTTGCCTTGCACTTGAAACCCTCACTGTTCGCCTCAATACTTTCTGCATGCATTGTGCAGCCTCTTCTCTTGACCCAAACCCCAACCTATAGCTATTACCAACTTCACCTGCTCATATTAAAACAACAGTTCATTGCCATTGTCAATTATTTTACAGAAGCTATCTACTTCACCAACTTAACTAGTGGTGGGTATAATGCAAAAAGGGCATAATGTCAAAAAATACTCCCAACGTTTTGGAACATTTTGACCCTAACGTTTCATTTTGGGTAAAAAGGTCCCTATATGGATGGAAATTGTTAGTTAACGAATGGTTAACGCTCTAAAATGAGGGTCTTTTTACCTCAAAATGAAATGTTGAGGGTCAAAATGCTCTAGAAAAAAAAATAAGGGCCAAAGTAACTTTTCAATCAAACGTTAGTGACATTTTTATCCTAAAATGAAACGATAGGGGGGCCAAAATGACCATTTCAGTAAACGTTGAGGCTAATTTTGGCATTATACCAAAAAAGAAAAGGTAAAGCATTCAGCTCTAGGCAAGCAGCATGTGTGTACACTTACCAGATTTACTAATTACTTCCATCTTTTCTTTCTTTATCCCCATTCGACTTCTAATACTTGGAGGAAGGGAAGATAAGTGAGAGCATGTCACTGCTAAGCCACAATCCTGATTTCAATGGAGAATATTATCAAAATCAATAGTCTAGTGGAAACGTTATCTTTTATACAATCTCAAAGCTCCGAATCAATGGCATGAAATATATGATAACTTTTCCATAAAAGTTAAATGTCATTTAAATTTTCCATTTACACCCTTTCCCCTTTAGGAGATGAAATCAACAAATACAGAGAAAGATAAAAGAACACACCTCAAACCTACAGAACAACCTAAAATAATACTGAAGACAAACCAAATTCATGTAAATTGAACTATGCAGGCTGCAATACTAACGCATACAGGATAACTTCAGGATGCTAGTTGTTCTTTGTCATGTAAAAGTCAGCCTCGAACTTGAGTAGCAACCCAGCTTGGTGCCTTTTAGTATTTACATTTTTACCCATTAAAAAACTTGGATAAAAGAGAATGCAGGAACTTCCTTTTCTAGTACAGCTTTAATGTTTTGTTTGGAACTTAATTAAGCATATGAGCTATAAATGAGACCAAATTAGTTCTTTAATTTGCATTCATATAAACCTGAGATATATTTGCAAGTTGATTTGTAGATGACGAGAATCTTAAGAAGTCTTTGTCTTCATACTCTCGAAGAAATGTCTTATACATGGTCTGGAATAAATCAAACTGCCCTCGTACAATCTTCTTCACCTGAATAAACAAAACATCCTTGCATCATAACAAAATAAATACCAGATTAAATGAAAATTGAAAAAAGAAGCAGTGGACAATTACTACAAAATAAACAAACAAATAAATAAAAAGACAACAAAGCTATACCCATTTTTATTAAACTTTTTCCATATATTTAGAGGATCATACTCATACATATATTCAAATATGTTTTGGATGCATATACTTTAAGAAACATAAAAAGTCTAGGTAACATAGTTCACAGGGAGGATTAGGAATCATTTCATATGGATTAGAAATTGAACACATTGTAGGATTAAAGCGGCAGGACAGGGTTTAGAACCATCACCATAACCAAGGGGTAACTAGCAGAGGGTTAATTTGGCTTCTCCAAGAAGATGGGAACAGATGGTAAGTGAACAGTTTCGTTGGTTTGGGTTTACATAAATCATCATGGCGAGAACTTGATAAAACAGAGAAAAAAAATTGAATTGTTTGCATGTTAGAACTTATAGCTCAAATGTCATACCAAATAAAGAACTGAAAGTGCTTGTAACTCAAAATTTAAGTAAACTACTCCGCAACTTTGATGTACAAAACCAATGTAAATTTCAGACTGAATTGCACAGTCAATAGCTAAACTACTAGATATTTTCCTTCAAATTTCCATCTTAAACTTAAGTTTTACCTTATTTCGATCCTCTGCAAAAAGCATACGCAAGTCACCCATGTATGAAAGGCTACATATTTTGGCATACAGGTCTTCCTACATGAACATGGAGTTGATTATAAATACGGCAATATGATATTTAAAAGAGGGAAAAAGAAACAAAGCTAACCTCTGTGAATTTGGGTGGTAAGAAGAGGAGAGAGGCAGACACAGCAGCTCGAAGGTTAACTGAGTTTACATTTTCAATATCCAAATTATCCACAAGCATATTTACCTAAACAAAAACGAAGTTATAAGAATACAAATCAACCCTACAGAACAACTTATATAGGATACTATTATAAATGGTGAATATGCTTCTCACAAGGGGAAAAACAGAAAGCTGAATAATTTACCCTCATTTGGCAAATGAGAAAACAAAGGTTATCCATTTTTATAGTACTTTTTTAAAAGACGATATAATAGAAGTGTGAGAAAACAGGGGAAAAACAAAGGTTATCACATTTAAGAAAACATACCGGTTTCTGTAAACGACCACTCAAATACAAGCTCTCCCAATTTAATAGGTCTTGAATCAAATCATTCATTCGAAAAACTCCATATTTCAGCATCTGCCATCCGCAATGTAGCCAAAGTGTGAGAAATTTAAGATTTAAAGTGTACACCTACAATCCCTTTCAATAATCATACTAAACATAAGATCTCACAATGTTAATACTCAATACCTTGTTATTCCAAGTAACATATGGGTTGAAGTGTATTCCTACTCCTATACTGTCAGCAACACCAGTAATCTACAAACCAACAATCTGTAGTCTGAACTATTGGAAAATAAAATAAAACGTGTGTAGATGAGAGAGAGAGAGAGACCAGTTTTGCCCCACCAAGATGCACCATCCATGAGGCGTAATGATCAGTATTCATTTTTAGATTCTAGGTGAGAGAAAAACAAATAGGTTAGATAGATGAATTTTTTTTTTTTTTTTGGGGGGGGGGGGGGGGGGTTCACAATGTAAAGAACTGTTAAATAGCATTGGCATAGCTTAAAATATGAGTCTCACCTCAGAATGCCATTGCAGGGGATCAGAAACACCTAGTATGTAATCGGTCATTGTTGACTAAAAAACCAAAAAAGTTAGAGACAAAGGGAAAAAACTGAAGAAATGCAAGTAGGAACAGAGTGGTAGTGAAGTAGAAGAACCTTGTCAGGATAGGTCGAATGAAGAGCCGAGCCATAGACACAGCAAAACTCAACTGGAGGAAAAGCTTTGAGAAAATCCAACAGATGGGCATGAACTGTGTCCTTATTAACCATGTTTTCTACTTTTGGTAGTGAAGAAGTAATTAACTATGTATGTTGAATGAAAATTAATGTCAAAAACTTGCTTACAGAACACATGCAAAGTTGGTTTACATCAAACACCTACAAAAGAAAAAGAAAAAAAAGTTTAGACAGTAACTAAGTTTCTCAATCTAATCAATTTAAATGGCCAAGTACAATACCCCTAAATACCATGTTATGCAATAGGATGCATAATGAGTTGTTTAATAATCTGTTCGTTGGTTATTCAGGTGTTGTAGTAATCAGTCATTTGATTGAGGCATTTTATCAAACAGTTTATGGGCGTTAATTCCAAATTACTTTTCTTTCAATATTCGTTTCTTCTCTCTTCTCCTTTCTTCAATCTCAGTTTCTTTCTGGTTCAATCATCTTTCCCACATACCAAAAAACAAATTTACTTCGAATCAGTCGTATAAAAATAACTGAAATGAAAAGGCTAAACTTGGGTTATTAATACTTACAAATATAAACTAAAGATGAAAGAGTTTCAATTTGCGGGAGAGCATGGATCTCAGTGTCGGAATTTCAAATGCTAGGGTTTAAGAGGAATACATGGGAAAGTAACTGCACGAACTTGCTTGGTTTAGTTTCTCAAATTTGGGTAAACTACCCTTAGTACCTAAACTATCAGTTTTAGTTCTTTTAATACCTAAACTTTTAATCTTTTTAAAAAAAATTAATGTTTAGTTTTTGTTTCATTTTAGTACTCCACTGTTAAAAATTTAACGCTCTTAATACCTAAACTATCAATTTTGTTCCGTTTTAGTACCTAAGCTTTTAAATTTTTTAAACCTTAACGTTAAATTTTGAACAGGAGTATTAAAATGAAACAAAAACTAAATTTTAAGTATGATTTTAAAAAAATTAAAAGTTTAGATACTAAAACATACAAAAATAAGAATTTAGATATGCTTTGGACCTCAGACTATTTTGTTCTCTTCGCTCGACTATGATTTACAGTTTGTCGGCAGTCTTTCAATAATTTTATCCTTTTTTTAGTTCGTTCGCTAATTCATTCAAATCTGTTGTATCTATATTTTGTTCAAATTCTTTTATTAGGTTTTTAATCTTTTCTTATATGATCCTAAGTAACTATTTTTTTTGTTAATAATTATAGGAAAATGTCTTAATTATATGATTACTTTACATTTATGATCGTAAACATTCATTATAATTTTAGATACGTCATTGCGTTCGTGACTATTTTGTTCTCTTCGCTCGACTATGATTTACAGTTTATCGGCAGTCTTTCAATAATTTTATCCTTTTTTTAGTTCGTTCGCTAATTCATTCAAATCTGTTTGTATCTATATTTTGTTCAAATTCTTTTATTAGGTTTTTAATCTTTTCTTATATGATCCTAAGTAACTATTTTTTTTGTTAATAATTATAGGAAAATGTCTTAATTATATGATTACTTTACATTTATGATCGTAAACATTCATTATAATTTTAGATACGTCATTGCGTTCGTGACTATTTTGTTCTCTTCGCTCGATTATGATTTGTAGTTTGTCGATAGTATTTCAATAATTTTATCCTTTTTTGTAGTTCGTTTATTGATTCATCCAAACCTGTTTGTATCTATATTTTGTTTGATTGCTTTGATTAGGTCTTTAATTTTTCCTTATATGATCCTAAGTGACTAATTTTTGTTGTTGATAATTATAGGAAAGTGTCTTAATTATATGATTACTTTACATTTATGATCGAAAACATTCATTATAATTTTAGATTTTTTCAATATTAATATTAGCGGATTCTATAAAAAAAATTCTTTTGTTCACTAGGTTAAAAAACGAATGGTTCATTGGGTTCGAGAATGGAACTGGCTGGAGATTAAAAAACCCCAAATAATATGGCCTCCAAATATATCAAATTCAAACTAAAATAAAATTTTCCAGTTCAAAACACTACTAAATTACTCACTTTTACCGACGTATGTAAAACTGCCAAAAGTAAAGTGACCCAAAAAATAATTAGTGAAACGGTATTCATGCTTCTCACCCTATTTAAACTTCGTTTGGAAAAGTACTATTTTTTTCAATTTTTTGTTTGAGCCAATAATCATGTTTCAAACGTGAATTTTTTACTTAAAAATAAATTATTTAAAAATAGTTTTGCGTTTGAATTTTAGGCCGAAGACACTTCCATAAGCATTCTCAAACGGCCCTAAATGGCGCAAATATGGTTCATGTTTCAATGTGTTGGACAATCCAAGTACCACAAGTTACGAAAAACAGCCAGAAGCATAAGCAAGCATATAATGGAACCAATGAGAAAAATCCAAAGCTAATTTATTCTAGTAAAGTCTATTTGCATTGCATGCCTCTTTGGTAAAACCATTGTCTTGTGCCTCAGGCTGTTACTTGTAACAATCCATTGTGCCTCAGCAACGCCTCTGGTGACGGTTCTCGTCCACGGAACCCAACAAACACCTGGACCCAGCATTTCATGTTAACAGCATTCAATGGAATATCCACAACTGATATTTCTCATTTTGAAAATATTGCTCAGGGGGACAGGTCAGAAACTTGGAAATCAAATGATTTTTTTTTTCACAATTAGAAACTAACCTCCAATGGTGCTTTTCCACCTCCAAGAGCAAGTATGGTCTCTCGAAACTTATGGCCAGTCTCTTGAACGGCCTGCAGAAAAATACAACTAAATATAAATGGATCGTAGTTTTTGAAGTGAAACACAAAGAAGAAGCACTCTATGCTATACACAATCAGGAATCAGCAAACTAGATGAGGATATGCATTCAATTTTACATTTGTAGTGTGATGAGAACAATTTGTAGAATACCATGGCTCTCCAACTGTTTGCACCGACTTAAAAACTAGCCAGATGTACACAGAAGGGAGAGGGGTCGAAATCAACGACATGATTTTACTCTATTTGATGTACATATTGTACGGAAATATATATAATAATAAACAAGAACAAACCAATCCTGAACACCCTTTTCAACCACGATACCTTAATGTCATCCAGTCCAGCATCCTCAAATGCTGAGAAAGCATCTGCAGACAATACTTCCGCCCACTGCAAGATATAGCACTTCAGATTTCAGATCACACTAAGGAAAAAAGGAAAAACAAGGATGCAAATCATGCCCACAGGACTTCAGAAGAAAAATACTTGATACAAGCTAGGCTGCAAAAATTTGCTACATGGAGAGAGGAAAGGATAATAACTTGTTATGTTATATAGTCTTACTCGGATTACTGATGCAACATTTCAAACACGTTTTCATCATAGTTTTCTAAGGGGCTACATAAAAGATAAAATATACCTTGTAACTATAGTATCCAGCAGCATATCCACCTAATATTCACAAAAATTCGAATAAAAACATGCCCAAGGTGAGGTTCGCACCAAATTGTAAAAACATTACATGAGAAGGGGAGAGAAAAAGGCTTGAAGAAGAAGGACAAACCAGCAAATATATGGTTGAAACTGCACAGAAACCTATCTTCTGGCAATGGAGGGATCACTTGTGTTTTTCTGGAAACTCTCTGATCAACATCAAAAACACAGATTCTGACCCATCTGAGATGTATTTTGTATGTAGTTCTAAATCCACGCTAGCAAATCGAAGCTGGAAATAGAAAATGGTTATAACTGATCTGTCAAGCAATCAAATACTAGAGCAAACACTAATCCACTTCACCAAAAATTACAATGTACTTTAACTGAAAAAATAAATCAGAAAGTTTCCAAGAGACATTTCATTAAGTAATACATCTTAAAAACAAATGATGAGAACAATATAATCATTGTGTCAATTAAAATTATCTTATATCACACATTACATGGATTTCAGACACAAATACCCTCATTATTGCTTAAAGAAATTAATAATAATACCCATTCAAAATTTCACACTACCACCAAAAATTGGAACCTTTTTATCTTTCTAAACCCTACTACAACCTGTAGCTGTACTGTTGATATTAAAATGAAGCACATGCAAAATCAGTCCAACATGGAGGCAGAGAGGGAGATTGGTAAGAATGTGAGAAATAACGACAGACATGAGGAACGTTGAGATAAGAAATCCTCACAGGGTACCATCCAAGCATATAAAGAAGTGCACTAATACCCTGGAAACATATAGCTTCTGCAGAGATATGTACACACCAAAAATGACACAAGGACAAAAAGTTCAACTAACCTGACGAAGACTTAGAGAACCAGCACGGAAAGTCCTTGCAGCAAGGAGCTTCAAATAAACTTCTTCGGGGAGACTCTCCCCTGTTTCATAATGCTTTGCAATGCTCATCAATGTATCCCTTAAGCAAAACAGGACAACAAAAATAAAAATCTAAGAAATGAAAGTTATAATTTATATGAAAAAAATGAAATGCTCATGAAAATAGTGGCAAAATCCAAATATTTGACCAGGGGAAATATATTCAGAAAAGATGATTAGACAACGTGGAAATTCAGATGTTTTTCTTGTCGATAATTCCGTAGGCTAAAAATAAGGTCAAAAAAGATCAAGCAGCCATGACTAGTAAGGGTAAAATAGACATGTCTTTTCCTAACCTGTTGTCACATTATAAACATTACATTCAAATGAAATATGATTAACCACAAACACAATAGTAAAAGCTCTAGAGTTGAATCTGAAGCATCCAAAAGATTTAGATTTTGATAGCTGGAGATGTTAACCTGTGGTAACACCAATTTTCCATGAACTGAGAGGGCAACTCAACAGCATCCCATTCAATTCCCCGAATGCCAGCTACTAGACCCTCATCTTGCTTGGTCAGCATATGCTGAAGTGCATGACCAAATTCATGGAAGACAGTCTCAACCTGAAGAAAAAGAAATGCCATCAGTTCACGTGGGCCAAACTACAGCAGCCACTTTGCATATCTAGACAAGTCACATATGCTTAGCATCAGCCACTACTGCAATAATGATCAGTAAAAATTAAAAGCATATCCAATGCAAGCACTGCCAGCATAAAGCCAGAACCTCTAGAAGAAAGATTTAAAATCAGCTAACATCTGCTCAGATGCCTCTGAACTATATTTAACAATAGTATTAGTAGAGATTAGACTCTCTTAGAACCATGCAATCTAGCACACATGCATGTTCCTCTTCGGTATATCTGTTCAAAAGAATTTACCAGATCCATGCTCTTTAACCTAATAGTTTCTGTACAAAAAAGAATCATGCACCTTGGAACACCTAATAGTTTCAGTATATCTGTTCAAAAGAATACACATGCATGTTCCTCTTCCATTTATCTTTTAATATTTTTAAACTAGAGGAGCTACGATCACAATAAATCAAAGAGTATCACCTTGGAACTTCTAGCTTAAACGAAAGAAAAAACATTTTTACATGAGAATACTTTAACCTTTTTGTTTTGTTCAAAGGCTTTAGCTAATAATATTATTAATCAAAGAACAGCGTATAGGTGGCTAATTTTTTTTTGGGTGATAAGTTCCGAAGCATGACTAGGGGTAGAAATGAATTTGTGGGACTGTAGATAGGAGAAAAACTCTAAGCTTCTGGACCTGGTGGCTCCCTGGTATCAACTTAGCCTCCAGCTCCAGTCATTCACAACACAAGAATTTATAAGCATTGACATTGTACTTAAAACCAACTTCTTCAACTTACTTCACGGAATGTCATGAGGCTTGGCTTGTCCCCAAATGGTGGTGTTTGATTGCATACCATGTGGGCAATAGGCAACCTAGATGTGGTCCCATTCCGTGACATTACACGACTTCGAGAAACAACCTCATCCATCCATGCACCTTCCCTTTTCTCTGATGGGCGAGAGAATGGATCAAAATAAAAATAGGCAATTGGACTACCTGAAGACTCTTTGACACAGTAGAACCTCACATCTTTGTTCCAAACCTTTTGAAAGAAAAGAAGAGTTAGAAA